ACTCCAGTGGATGAACTTGCACTGAGAGACATCTGGGTACAAATGCTTGACGGGATAGGACTTAACATATATGACAAGATACCTGAAATCTGGTGGGGGGTCTATGGGGCAGGGAGGTGGAGTGGGTCTAAATTTGATTAAGATCTATATTATATGAAATTCAAAAAAGCTCAATTAAAACTCAATTATTTTTAAATTAAATTATTAAATTAAAATGAAATTATTAAATAAAAACTATTTTATAGAAAATATGTTTTAAGTAACTGAAATGAAACACTGAGGACTAGAGAAGGCTTATGGCTTTTGTTGACCTCAAAGAGCAACTGAATAAGATACAAAGCATTTGCTGAGATCTGTGAAAAAGGAATTCAATGAGAAATATCTATATGAACACCTTTAAAATGCGTCTCCCCAGTAAAACATAAAACTTATGCAAGTGAAATGCCAGCTGTCTTCTTCAAGTGGTATCTTCTATGTTTAATGTAATGCCTGGCTTATACTGAGTACTAAATATTTGAAAGGAAAAATAATGAGTTCTCACCTGTTTTGTAAATATCCAGAAGAGTTGCAGTGTATCTGACAAAAACATTTTCTTCGGTGATAGATGTGATCTTAACCTTATAAGCTGGTGACAAAACAAAACAGGACAAAAATGAAAGAATTTGGACTGAACACCACTAACGTGATACCGAAGGAAGGCCAGGGTTTGTCAGTGGATGAGGAAAGAGGTGTGACAAGCCAGCGAAGCCACCTTGAAGCAGACCTCGTTTATTCAGAGGGACCTTCCCAAATCCCCTCATTCAAGTTATTAGGGGCTGGAGAAATGGCTCAGTGATTAAGAGCACTGACTGCTCTTGTAGAGGACGTGGGTTTGATTCCCAGCACCCACATGGTGGCCACAAACCATCCTTAACTCCAGTTCCAGGGGAATCCGAAGCCCTCTTCTGACCAAGGCATTGCATGACATGGGTACACTCACATATACGTAGCCAATACACTCATACACATTAAAAAAAAAAAACCCAACAAAACATATTTTTAAAAAATCAGAACGAATTCAAATGATGGAACTATTGTAAGCCATGCAAAGTTCATTCTGATGTCTATAATCCGACTAAGAAGATTCATAGGTAGTGATGGCAGTAAGAGTGGGGACCAGGGCCATTCTAGCTCTAAAACGTATTTTCTACATGATCTTGAGCAAATTATTTAATCTCCCTGAGCCTCAATTTCTTCACTGATAAATAGTGGTAATGGTATATTACTTAAAGGGTTCTTATGGAACTGCAGTGTTGTGGTTTGAGTGTGAAATGGCTCCTAAAAGCTCATGTGTTTGAATACTTTGTCCCCAGCTGGTGGTGCTGTTTGGAAAGGTTGTGGAACCTTTAGGAAATGGAGCCTTGCTGGAGGAAGTGGGTCACTAAGGGCAGGGCCCATGGCTTTATAGCCAGGGCTCACTTCCTGTTCACTCTCCGCTTCCTGAGTGCAGGTGCACTATACCCAGCCAGTCTCCTGCTTCTGCCTCCTTGTCGTCTTCCCTGCCATGATGGATTGGATCCCTCTAGAACTATATGCCAAAATAAACCCTTTCTTTCTTAAATTGTTTTTGTTCAGGTATTTTATTACAGCAATGGAAAAGAAACTAAAATATCCAGGAAAAAACAAAAAACAAAAAACCACATACTAAAAAAACTTTGGGAAATACAAAAAGCCAGATCAGCTGTGCTCATTTTTTTTTTTAAACTTGGAAACAACACCTTTTTAGAAAAAGATTTGGGATGACAGTGTACAAGATGATCTCCCCCTCCAAAAACCAACCCCTCCAAACAATGATAATAACAACAACAAAACAAAACTAAAAGTACCCAAAATAAACATGGGACACTGATGGTAGCAGGTAAAGGAGTTGCTATTATGTGATAGTTGGCTCTCGACTCAGAGTTTTCAGAGAACAATGAAATTGTTTCTCTCAGGAACTTGAGACAAGTCTACAACTGTCTTAGAAAACTGATTTAGACCCAAGCTTTGGGCATTGAGAATGGAGAGAGCTTCAAGCACGGACTGCGACTCTGCACATATTATAAATTATTTAGTAGTTCTTTCTTTACCTTGAAGACATCTTTAAAGCAATAACCTCTCCCCCTGCCCACACTCCATTGCCTCTGCCTCTGCTTTATCCACTGGAAGAATATTCAACTGATATTTTACATTTTTGTGGCCTTTCAAAAGTTTTCTTGGAATATGTTGTAGTACCTCTAAGTCACAGGATCTATTAGGGGAAAGTGTCTTTGCTGGGTATGCATATCACTTCCATTACCTTTAATGAAAAATTCACATTTCTTTGCTGAGGAATAAATAATTTGGACATTAATGCTGAAAATTGATGGCATTTTCTTTCAAAGGAACAAATGCAGTGCTTTATTCACCTATTATCTCTGTGTGGAGCTTTTCATCTTTCTAACTGATCATGTCTCATGAGATCTCATACTGAAAGGAGCTCTGTTAAACTTTTGAACTTACCGTATGCAATTTCTGGTTTACATGCTGTTTCTTTCCTGGTATCTGCAGAGATGGTCAGATCCAGTTCCTCCCGCAGTTGCCCACAGTCAGCTGGATTGTGTGGAAAACAGTGAAAGTTAGGTTAAGGTAATGAAGCAGGTACTCTCTATGGGAGTGAACACAGTTTCCAAGGACAATCTGGTATCATTTTACATGTAGCAGATTCCTAAGACCAGACCATTTTCTTTTTTTCCATGAAGAAAAACATAAAGTAAAAGCAAAACTAACCAACCAAAAAAAGCCAAGCCTTAAACACAGACTTATTGTTAGATGGTCATTAACTTCACATTCAGCACTTTAGAAGTATACATCTTTTCCTTGAAAGTGGGGTGGGGGAGAAACTTTCCATTAGGAGCATAGTGAAAAACTTCTTGAAAGACATAAAGTGATACTTTGACTGATCTTTAGCTATAACATGGTACAAGGAAATGGACATAGGAAATAGAAAAACAAAATGAACAAAAAAGAACCCCAAACAACAAAATAAACAGAAACAAATAAATCCAAACAAACAACAAAAAAACCCATAGAGCCAATTGTTGATTTCTAGATCCTCAGTTTTGCCGAGAAGGCTGCTCTTGATTTTAAAGAGACTGAATAGAACTAGACAGAGACATCTATTGACTGGAGGGTAAGGGAGAGAAAAAGGGCCCAATGACCTAGCCTTGAGTCTTTGTTCTCTTTGGTTATGGTCCTTTGTTAAAAACATGAAGTGAAAATAAAAATAGCAAACAAAAAGACCACATCAGGTACCCCTAGGCTAGTCAACAACCATCTGGATGGTGTTTCTGTCCCGTATCCTACCAGGTTGTTTAGGAGCTGCGAGGAAGGAATTGTTTATTTTCTATTAGCTGAGCTTGTACTTTCAGATCATGAGAGAGGGATTTAAAGAGACATGCAGGGGGCTGGAGAGATGGCCAGGCGGTTAAGCCTGCTCTCGCAAAGGGCCTGGGTTTGATTTCCAGCACCCACATGGTGGCTAACAACCATCCGTAACTCCAGTTCCAGGGGATCCAATGACCTCTTCTGATCTCTGCAGGCATTGTATGACACGGGTGCACTTTCACACATTAAGGCAATACATTCATACATATAAAATAAAAATAATTAATAAACTATTTAAAAAGAGATGTGCACCCTGAGCATGCCAAGGGAGGCTCACCTTCTACGCACTTGCACGTTGCTTCTTCACAGACTTTCTGAAGTTTGGTGTTGGATGTGCTATAAAACATGGTGCACTGCTTATCTGTGGGAATGAATGCACGCTTACAGAAAGTGCCTTGGTTAATACCCAACATATTTATTGATCATTGAATTTCCTACAAGGGGCCTTGGGGATTGCCTATTCTAAACCTTTTTACTTATGGCTTAAGGCCCAGGGAGGTTAAATTATGGACTGGTCATCCTAGGAAAGGTTCTATGCCCTCAGAAAGATCTCCCTTTGTTATCTTAGTTTTGTGTTTGAAATTTTACTGTTCAATACTAATTTCTTAGGATGAAAGTATTTGGTACTCCCTTGAAAGATAAAAAACTAAATTATGTTAGATGAAGATGTGTTGAGAGGATTGAGATTATTTAGGCTAGACAAGAGCACATGTGTGCTATTCATGAAATATGTGATACATACATACACATGTGTGCACATATGAGAAGAGGAACTAAGTATGTTTTAGGCCAGTCCAGAAGATAAAATTAGAATGAATGGGTGTCAGAATTTGCTCCACTGGAGAATTTTCTAAGAAACAGAACTGCCCAAGATGGACTGAAAGCTCTGGAATCACTGAATCTTCCCAGAAGTGGCTAAACCGTTAGATGTGGGATCAGTCACTCAACAAACATTTATAAAGTTTATTCATATTAGATTCATTCACCAAATGCCATGTTAGATATTAGGGATGAAGGACGAACATACATCTGGGGTTGGTGGGAAACATATAAAAACACATAATTTCAGTGTAATGTGACCAAGGCTGTAATAGGTGTATGGGCAACTGTAATAAGAATTCAGGTAGGGTAGGAGTTGTTCTGGGAGGATTAAAGAAATAGACCAGTAATTGGGCTTCTCTAAGATGACTTCTAGGTGACTACTACCAAAGACCTTGAGGCAAAGCATTTTAAAGTTGGGGGTAATATAATCTAGTTATGTAAAAAATGAAAAAGCAGATTGAGATACGAATTGATTTGCCCAATGTCAGGAATTTATTTGAATATGGTATTTAAGAAATGAATACTCAAGTTGGGACATTTATGAGGTAGGCTCTTAGAAAGGCAATCTGTAAAGTGTGCAGACCGCCTGCTGATTTCTAAAGTTATGTGAAGAATACAAGAAGTCTTCAGAAGAAGTTTTAGAGCGGGGCAGAGCGGCTTACCTGGTCTGTGATATTCATACACTGTGAAAGTAGCAGGGCTGAGAAACCCAACTTGAAAAATCTCAAATATCCGGAATCGGACGCAAAGGAAATCACTGGAGGGAATCTGTTTGACAAATTCAAGGTTTTAAGGAAGAATTATAGGAGAAGAGAGATCTGTAATGGTTCAGCCTATAAATTCTGGATGTGACAGTATGGTGTATATGACATGAGGTGGTGCTTACCGAATTCACTTGCAGAATAACGTGGCCATCTTTGATCTGGTAATCTGTTAATAGTTGATCCACTCCTTCCACAAGCTATGGAAGGAAAGAGGAAAGGCTTGAATTTAATTTCATTGTCTTTGCATTTAATTGTGTCCCCTGCTGAAGGAACGTTAAACCACAGACTTGATCCACTACTAAAAGCTGAAGATCGTTCCTCTTTTTGGAAGTCTGAGCTCATTAGTCCGTTCGGTCACATTGTTTTGTTAAGTGCTACTTCTGCTTCATTTTAATAAGTCAAAGCATAGGTAGATTGGTGTTTTTGAAAGAATATTTTGGGTGATTCTATGAAAGTGACACATTAAAGTGAAATAATATAAATTTGTCCACAAAATAATGCAGAGAAGGGGGCTAGAGATATGGTTTAGCAGTTAAGAGCACTGACTACTCTTGCAGAGGACCCAGGCTCAGTTCCCAGAACCCACATGGCTGTTAACAACCATCCTTGACTCCAGTTCCAGGGGAATCTGACGCCTTCTTCTGACCTTCACAGGCATTGCATGATACAGGTGCACTTACATACACACAGGCAATACACTCATACACATAAAATAAAACAATAAATAAAATATTAAAAAGAATGCAGAAAAAAAGCCTTCAGAACATATAAAATCAAACACTTGCAGCACGTAAATCTTCTTCATTTGCACTGATGCTAGTTGGGAGAGAGATGTCCATCACCGCATGGGAGGACCCGGATGCTGACTCTCCTTTGCTGGGCTTGTAGCTAAAACAAATCAGAGATTGAGAAATGGACTAAAAATATGGATAAGAATCTTTTAGAGAGGGTTTTGAATTTGGTTTCCATTCATTTGCTCCTTTATCATATACAGGTTAGACTGTGAATTTTGGAGTTGCAGAAGAGCCTTGAGTCATTGGTTCTAACTCTTTTCTTGACTGGACCACTATTCTGGAGCAGAGGAAGCTTCTACTCTGTGAGCACTAGATGGAGAAACGGGATGAGAGCAAGCCACTCCATCAAAGCTACACAGCAAGTTGCACACGAACCCAGGTTCTTGATTCTTAGTTAAGTTCTTCCTCTAATGGACTATGCTCCATAGCAATAGATGGAAAAGATCCAATAAACACGTCCAGGGAAAGACAGGAAGAAAATACACCAAGATGCTAGCATTTCCCTTCTCTGCTTTCTGTTGCTTTTCTCTGTCTTTGAAATCCTCTACCACGGATACTTATTAAAAAATAATTCTTCAAGGACTCTCCATTGCCTAGGAATTTTGCTAATTTGAAGTTAAGGAGAAGGAAAGTAGGCACATAGGATCTCTGTGTCTCTCTCTCTGTCTCTGTCTCTCTCTCAAAAATAAACACTGAAAGGTGAGATCAGTAAACTTTGGTTTGTTTAACCCAGTTCTGCTGAGTCATTTCCACAAATCATTTCCTCTTTCCTAGATAATTTTCTTATATGTAAAATTAACTGTGGAGAAGCATACGTATGTTTTGAGGGCATCTTTATGTCCCTTTGGTTTTGTGGGGTAGAGGCTCACTGCTACCATTAGGCAGAGTTTGAGGACTGAGAAGGGCAGGCTGGGCAGAGGCAGTAGGATCAGGGAAAGAGAGCTAGTGGTTCTCTGTACAAGTTAATCTTTACCTCAAGATGCTCAAGAGGCAGCTGTGTAGTGGAAGCTGGAGCTTGGAGGAGCAGGTAGGATGAAATGAGGAAAGCAAGAGAACAGTCCAGGATAGATTTCACCCAAAGGAATGAGGCTAAGTGAAATGGGAGATAATATGGGGCTAGAGACATGTTTAGGGCATCTTTTCTTCAGCCATACCTTCTAGAGTATATGTGAAGCAGGTTTTAAATTAGTTTTAAGTATAATATTTACTTCAGTAATTAAAGATACTAAAAAAGTTCCTGACTCATAAAAATGTAGCCCCACTCGTCACCAAAAGGGCTGTGACATCTGAGCATCTCTCTAATTGGATGGGTAGAAGTGGAGATTCTGGCTCACAGATGCAAATACTACATCCACAGGATGCAAAGGGGCCTCCTGGGTGGTGGAGAGTGTCTATGAAAAGGTTGCTGGAGCCTTGATGACCGGTTGCCATGGGGACTGTTTCAATCCTAGAATAGAAATCCTCCTTTCAAGAAGCCCTTTGCTGGTTGCCAAAACCAGCAATCTTCCCCAAAGGCATTTTGTTGTAGAGAAATGAAATCCTTCCCCCACCCCCTTTTCTTATGAATACAACACAGAGGTTGTAAAAGGCTAAATGCACGAAAGGGACCTGAGAAACGCAGAAACTGCTGGCAATTTTTTAATCGGGAGAGAATATTTGAAGGCAAAGGCTTTCTTACATGAATAGGGACTACTTAGTTACTTTGGACTCTACCCAACCTAACCTCAGTGTCACAGAGCCAAAAGCAACTTCCATCCGCCTTTTCTGGAAACTTCTGTCCCTAACTTGTTAAAAACGAAACAAAACCAAGAATCCAAAACCCCCCCCCCCCCAAAAAAAGAAATGATATCCAATATTACATTTTTCACTTGTTTTCTCTTGTACTTTGACAGCCTGGAATTAGTTTTCTTGTCAATGAGGGCAAATGAATGATTTTTTTTTTTGATAAGTCTTTTAAGGCACAGAAGAGTTATAGACAATTAGAACTGGCAGAAACTCAGAGGTAAGATAGTCCAAAATGCTTCATAGAGCAGGTCAAGAGAGTTAGCTGGGCTGCTGAGGATCATTTGCGTGCTTAATGGCAGGGTCTACCCACCGGTGCATCACTGCATCACCCCAGAGGTCTCCTTCCAGGCAAGGTGTCGCCTTGTCCAGTCCTGTGCACTGATTCTAGCTCTCTCCAGAAGTTCATTTACACTTCTTTGTGGCAGCTGTTATGGGTTCAGACATGGCTATGATCATGCCCTCCCCAGCTAATGGGTGCATAGGAGGAGTTGCAGCAGGAAGAGAGCTACTGGAAAAAGGTAATCTTAATGAAAAGATGGTGGGAATGAGAAAAGAGGTCTGAGCAGAAACAGAGAGCAGAGACTGGCCAGAGGTGGAAGCAGGTAATGCTGGAAGGAAGAGAGGGAAGGAGGGAGGGAGGGAGGGAAGGAGGGAGGGAA